AATACACATTCGATATCTCCATGGATTTCAAGAACACAAAAGCTGAAATCACTTCAAAATGCTACAATACGCAAGGAAGAAAGAAAAAGAAAAATACCATTTTCCTCGGACTCCCCGTCGAGGCGAAGGCGCTTGGCCTCGGATTCGTCAGAATTGGCAACGTCGGAGCTGTCAGGAGCAGTAGACTCCTCGCCATTGTTCTCCGTGGGAGCTTCATCAATGGGTTCCCTGTCAAAATCTGCAAGCTTCCGCTTGTGATCCAAGGGCTCGGGGCTCGCCACTCCGGTAGCTACAACAACTTCCTCCGCCATGTGGTGACCAAGAAAGGCGAATCGAAGTAGTGTTGTGTTCCTCCTGGCTGGTGGCTGGCAAGGGAGATCGAATCTAGGGTTCAAGAGGAGAGGAGAAAACCGTGAGAGCGAAAGGATACGATACACTAATGCGAATGTGTGGGTATACGTAATTCTTACCGCTATCTCAGATATTTTTATTTTAGATGCTTCGAAATATCTAAAAATAAACCAATTTTATATAAATAAATAACACTCAATTAATAATAATATATAATATAAATATTTTTAAACCTTAAATAATAACCTTAAACTTTAAATTTTTTAAAAAGTAAAAAAAAAATACTTTTAACTACGTTAAAAAATTACATGTCCCGAGTTGGGTTGGGTTGGGTTGGGTTGAGCTAGGCTGGGTTGAGGGATTTTAAAAAAAAATATAAATATCGATCATGAAATTAAATAAATAATAAAAAAATTAGTTTAAAGATATGTAACATAGACTAGAGTCGAAATGGAAAACCCATTAATAATGAAAGATTCTTAATATAATTTATATATTTTTATTTGGATCGAGTCGCTCGAGTCAACTCAAGGGTTTTGTCCCACGAACTCGAAACCGAACTAATTCAATTCGGGTTCAAAAAAAATGAACCCAACCTACTAGATAATCCAACCCAACCCAACCGTTATAGTTTGGGTTGGGTTGGTACAGGTGGTTGGGTTGAATATACACCCTTAAAAAAATACTAATAAAATTAATACATTTTTACATTTATAAAAGAATGCAATTTTTTCTTCTTAATGTCAATATATAGACGAAGACGATCTATGTGCGCTTCATACATTATCTTCAAATTTTTTAATATTACTTTTAAAAGTTTGAGTATTTTTTAAATGAACGGTCTATCGGCACCTCATAGAATTCAATTTTTTCTTCTTACCGTTAATATAAGAACGAAAATCGTCTATCAGACACCTCATAAATCATCTACAAATTGTTACTTTTAAAAGTTTATGAGTATTTTTGAAATGACGAACATTGTCTATCGACACCTCATAAATTATCTCCAAACTTTTTAATGTTATTTTTGGAAGTTTATAAGTATTTTTGAAACAACGAGAAAGTGTATTTTTTGAACTTTTTAAAAAAGTCAAAATGTGATTTATTTATGGGTTTATAGAACCCTCTCGTTCCCAGAGTTCTTACTTTTATTTATCCAGTGAATCGTGAAATATAGAAAAAGTAACGAGAGAATCGAAGATAATCGTGAAAAACACTTGACCATGGTGGAAGATGGCCTTCACGGTCGTTCATTTATCCAAAGCTCTTACTCTTCGGTCTAACAGGGTCGAACTATTCCAAGTCTCGCAACCTCCTGCATTTTCTTTCATACATTGTAAATATGACGATGGTACAAATTTTGGCTAGTGGTCGGGTATGGCCACGTTTCAAACATTGATCCCCGAGTGTTATCCAAGCTGGTTAAATAAAAGACTTATTAGTGTTTCGAACATTTGGAGGTGTGGAAAGATTGGCTAATCTCCATACGTACCTGAAGCTTCATATGTTTTATGATTGAAGTGTTCGATGATAAAACGATCGTTACTCCATAAGATAGAAAGAGCAATGCACATGCTTTGTGCAGACATATAAATTATAACCAAACAATACTTTTCAATCTCCAGCAACTAAAATTAAGGGCGTTCGAAAAGAAGAACCCGATAGATTCAAAAACGAATTGCTCGAAGACCCATCGTCAATCCCATCTTCATGATCTCTCACGACTTTCTCGATTATCTTTTGGTGTACGCCTTCGAGCTTGGATTTTCTCGATTCATCGTTTCTAGACTGATTATCGTTAAGCACTGGATCTGTTTGACAAAGAACTAATGCAACACCTAACAAGATCATATCATTGTGGAGGTTAGTGGTTCCTAACAAAGCAAAGTTTGTATAGTTTCTGTTGCACACGTTTCACACAACCCGTGGAAGTTTCATCATACTATTATTATTCTTTTGTCAAGAAACCGAACACTGAAAATATACGGGCATATAAAAAACAAGCCCATATAAAAGGAGTCCACCCACTCACTACCGAAAATGACTCAAACCCAAAACAATCATTCTTTATAAGGGTGTGAAAACCTTCTCCTAGCAACACATTTTTAAAACTTTGAGAGAAAGCTCGAAAGGGAAAGCCTAAAGAGAACAATATCTGCTAGCGGTGGGCTTGGGTTGTTATAAATGATATCAGAGCCAGACACTGTGCGATGTGTCAGCAAGGAGATTGAGCCCCGAAGGGGGGTGAACATGAGGCAGTGTGCCAGCACGGAAGCTAGGCCCCAAAGGGGATAGATTGGGGGGATCCCACATCGATTAGAGAACGAGTGCCAATGAGGACGTTGGACCCCAAAGGGGGTGGATTGTGAGATTCCACATCAGTTGGAGAGTAGAACAAACCATTTTTTACAACGGTTTGGAAAGAAACCCTTCCTTAGCAGACACGTTTTAAAAACCTTGAAGGGAAGCTAAAAACAAAAAGCCCAAAGATAACAATATATGCTAGCACTAAACATAACCCAATCGACCGAGGAAGCCTTGAATTCAACGTCACAAGTCACAAAACCAACGAAACTCGATGGCTTAGAACTCAATCATATAACACAATTTCAAACGAGAAAGTGATAACATGCTTTTATATATCTAACCAAAATAAGAGAGCTGACCGTTGAACAATAATACAATGATGTATAACTAACTAGAAAGAAGTTGCGGAGAACACAAACCAAACCGAATAGGTGTTAGATGAACACGACTCTCATGTGTTATGTCCACTTTGAGTCTAACCTCTCATGGCTTTGCTTTGGGCTTCCCTAAAAAGCTTCATACGAGATAGTATTCCTTGATTATAAATCCATGATCATTCCCTAAATTAGCCGATCCCTCGAACAAAGTACGCCTCCCCTTAATCGAGGCTCGACTCCTTTTCTTTTGTAATCTTAGTCATTTTTTACTATGGCTTCAAGAATCCTCGACTCCTTTTTCTTTTGAAATCCTTTATTCGACATTTGAGGATTCTATTGACATGACGAAGTTAAGGATATGATTCTGATACCATGTTAGGAATCACGACTCTCCACAATGGTATGATATTGTCCACTTTGACCATATGCTCTCGTGGCTTTGTTTTGGGCTTCCCCAAAAGGCCTTAAACCAATGGAGATGTATTCTTCACTTATAACCCTATGATCATTCCCTAAATTAGCCAATGTAGACTCCCTCCCAACCATCCTCAATATTTGCTAGGAATGATAAGTTAAAATCTGACGATAGGGTACACTCAACCATATGCAACAAACCTATGCTCGGTTTTTGTAATAACAGCCAAGATCAATATAGGTCATTCAACACACAGTTCCAATCACAAGATCGGGAGTGTCCGCAAAAGAATTAGAAACGATACAATAGTTCCGTGTTTAGTGAGAGAGAACACAATTTATGTAAAACAAATTTGATCCAACTTGATAGATTACCCGAGAGATGGAAATGAATTCTTGCGAAAGGGGCGGCGTGGCAGGCAGCATCAGCGAAGCTGACAATGGCGGCGACATGAAAGAAGAGAACAGAGGGAGGGGTGGTCAATGGCGATCGTGCATCATAGTCAATAATTGGTATTAGAGCTACGATGTTGGTACAAAGATTGTCACCGCACAAAATCGTCAGAGGAGATATAACACGATAAAAAGCGGAGGAGAGTGCAACACTCCAATACCCATTACTCACAAAAAGTAATTACACAGCATGGTCGATAAAGATGTGTGTTAACTTCTAGGCACAGGGCGTGTAGGACACCTTTGAGAATAGTGATGACGATGAGGAGTGTAAGGATAGGATGACTCTTGTCGTCATCTACCAAGCAGTCTCGAAGTACGTCCTTTTCATGTTAGCAGAGAAAGACTCAGTAAAGGCAGCCGTGGGAGATATGTTGCAAACAATGCATGTGGGTGTGGAATGTGTCAAGGAAGCAAAGGTGCAGACGTTAAATAGTGAGTTTGAGGCTATCTGCATGAAGAACGCTGAGTCAATAGACAAGTTTTTCGGAGCATTTGAATTCAATAAGACTGTTATTTTGCAAAATTTGGACTTCAAGGAACAAACGAATCGTACCAACTAAGTTAGTCCAAATCGATCCAGACTAATAAATCCAATTGAACCAACCAAATCAGCGAATTGGTTCAATCGAATCGATCATGTTCTTCTCCGATGGTTGGTAACACTGTTCATCGACTTGCCTTGATCTTAGGCCCTGACTCACCCTCCGTGGACAAACCTTGTGAAAGAGCCCTTAAGTTTTTGGGCATTGGATTTTCACCAATGTTTGCGTTACTCAAGCCAACATTCTCGCTTCTACTTCGCTCGTGCTCGTGCGTGTGCTTCCCTCTAAGGCGGAAGCTCCTCTACCGATGCATTTTTACATCCCACAACTTCAATAGATCACTTAGCCCCGTTTTCGGCACAAGAGCGCTCCATCAGTGAACTATTACAACGACAAAAATAATGAATAAATTGAAACTATTAAAATAGTATTTATATATTATATTAATTATTAAAAAGTAAGAAATATATATATTTTTTTAATAAAAAAAGAATAAATGTAATAAAAGGAATAAAAAAAAATAAAGAAAATATAATAATAAATAGAGACACAAGTATTCCGAAAGAAGCAACTGCGGTGAGGAAGGTGGAAGCAATGGGTATCTCATCGGGGCCGAAGCTCTCAGGGTTGCAAAAGCAAGTGCTCAGTCTATACAGAGCATTTCTTCGAGCAGCTCGTTCCAAATCCGCCGAAGATCGACGGCAAATGGAATCGATTGTCGCCGCTGAGTTTCGCCGAAACGCCAAGCAAATCGATCGCAAAAATTTCATCCACATCGAGTACCTTCTTCGTAGAGGTAACAAACAGTTGGATCAACTTAAAAGCCCTGCCACCGTTCGATTATCAAGATTCTGAGCCTTGAAATTGTATGTACATTGCTTCGATTCTTGGCTGTTGTTCTGATTTAATCGATCTTGGATAGATTTTGAACCCTAGAAAATAAACTGCGATTGATTTGCTTTCTCTCCTCTTGAGTTCCTGATTTGCAATTTTGTTGGTGGATCCTAAGTGAAGAATCGCTCTGTTGATTTGCTCGATACTGAATTTTGTCCTTCATGAACTTGTTTTTCAGCGACGATCAATTTTGCAGAACAGTTCAAGTCGGTGGTAGAATCCTTGAAATGTTTGAAAATGAGGACAATGGATTTTTCTTCCTTTGTGAGGTTAAGGTATGAATTTACACTAAATTCTACATTTAACTATCATTATATATATTCTAGATTAGAAGATACTTTTGATCTTTGTAATTTAGAATTTTTTTTTTAATTCATTTCAATGTTCAAACATCTGAACTTCAAATCTTAAGAATAAGAAGAAGAAAAAAAGTTCAAATGTTGCAAATTGTACCAATTAAAACCTTAAACTTCCTAACTAAGTCTATTTAGACGGATTCATAACTATTTTCTACTAAATTTTATTGCAAAATTACCTAAATAATATCATTTTTTTTTCTTCAAAGTAGCGGATGTAGTTCTTCCTAAATAAATAAGCATTGAAGGAGAAAACAAGATAAAAAAATTACAATCGGTATAATCCACTAAATTCTAACAATTCCATCTATAATTGTGTTAATCCCTACATTTACATTCTTACAAGGATAAGAATTATGTATTGATAATTTATAGTGAAATCCTAAGCGATATACGGTTTTGTGATTAGCCCATCCGATCGTCTTTGTTCAAGCCGAGGGAACACGATTGCCAATTGCAATATGTCGACCACTAAGCAAAGAGTCGTAGATAAAGGTAGAGTTTCATTACCAAGACAACTTTGTGTACAATTGACAACTAAGTTCAGTTTCATTACCAAGACAACTTTGTGTACAATTGACAACTAAGTTCATAGTCAGTCAGACAAATAGAATTTTTTTTTGCGCGCATAATAAACTTGTCATGCATGCAACTGACGACCTTATTTTTAGTAGGAAAATATGATTGTTACTAAATTATGAAAGTATGAAAGTATTATGTGCATCGTGTCCATGTACCGTGATTTAAAATGTGGGACTTCATGCATGTTGTATACAAATATCAGTTACTTCTCTAGTATGTTACATATGATCACATACTATAATAAGAAACACGCTCTTGTCTTTTCGTTAATTTTTGATAGCGTACGTGTGCACTAGTCTTATATTGATAATTAGGTTCCACACTTAAGTCGTAGTCATTATATTAGAGAGATCAATGACATTTTTATTTTTAAACTTTCATAGGAAATGGTGATGTTTCTATTTTCAATTATATTATTGTTATGCTATTATTTCGTTTGAAATGAATTTATAAACATTTAAGTTCATGGTAATATTTAAAGTGAAATATTTTGTATGATTTTTTTGCACATAGTAGTTACGATATGCATGTAGTGGCGATCTTATTTTACAAAAAAAAAAAAAAAAACAAGTAGAGTCGTTATAAAAAGCATTGCGAAACTTCTCTAAGCATAGGAGAGGTCAAGCTTGAGAGCTTGTTAGGACGTAGGAGAGGTCGATGGATTTGGATATGTGTAGGTCTCCCATTACTTGTTAGGACATGGGGCCATTTTCGATTCTAACACTCTTCAAGTACGACTTGGTACAAAGGCTAAAAGCAAGCTCAACGGAGAAAAAAATCTAGCCGAATTCGGTCCTTTCTTCTTCCTTCCTTTGAACTATCTCTAAGGCTTTCTAAACACGAACCCATCAATTTCTGCGTTTTGTAACAGCTCGAGTTCACCGTTAACAAATATAGTCTTTTTTGGACTTTTCCTTTCGAGGTTCCCCTCAAGAGAGGTTTCCACACCTTTATAGAGAATGTTTCGTCCCTCCCAACCAATGTGGGATCTCACAGTTTACTCCCCTTCGAGGCTCAATGTCCTCACTGACACACCGTCTTGATGTCCACCCCCCTTCGAGGCTTAACATCATCATTGACAAACCGCTTGATGGCTGCCTCTAATACCATTTGTAACAGCCCAAGCCCACCGCTAGTAGATATTATCCGTTTTGGCCCATATGTATCGTCATCAACCTCACAGTTTTAAAACGCATTTGCTAGAGAGAAGTTTTCACACTCTTATTAAATAATGTTTCGTTCTCCTCCCCCAACCGTAGGATCTCACAATCATCTCTTCAAATACTTTTCTTTGTCATGACTCAATATCTAAAACGGAAAGACAACTAAACCGAATGAAAGCTTCACTTTAGGTACTGATTTCCCGAGCCCTTAATTCTCAAACACCTTAGGAATTTAATTCAAGTGTTAATACACCTCCTATACCAGCCGGTCGAAGAGAAAATCTTGAGCTTTGTAACCCTGTGAAATGTCTATAGAAACTGCTACGTTTCACTCTAATCTCCCATGTGGCAGGAACACATCAACACGAGCTGGACCCGACCAATGCCTTCGACACGAGTGGGAACACCTCACCCATGGAACGCCAAGCTTTTAAAATTTTATTACCAGTAACTTGTTTGGGGAGGAAAGTTACTGCTTTACAATCAAATCTGCACAAAACTTTCAAAATGGCGACCAATTAAGACATGGGGTATTAAGGAGTTCGAGCGGTTCGGGGCACCCGACAATGTGTTCCAAGGCTACAATTAGCATCTCACCAGCTAAAATGAGATTGAATGAAGCTGAAGTTTATATTTGGGTGCCTCCACCCTTAGAACATTGGTAGCTACTTCAACTCCAGTAAATAGAGCTTCATCTTAAATCTTGACGAAGCCATACAAAAAACGACGGTTCGATAACTTAGATTGAGCTTCATTCAAATTAGCCTCGACCTCATACAACTTCTTTTCGAGTTGGTCGTCCAGATATGTTATCAAACAATATCCCCAGCCATTTTCCTATGCATATGGCACACAGTGTCCTATATTTAAACTTCTAAATTTTGCAAAAGTTTACAAGTAAATCTATTTAGACCCTTAGATTATGATCCATAACTATTTCCACTAAATAGTTTTCTCTAAAAAAGAAGCAAAAAGACAACAAAAATTACAAATCAGAAGAAGAGTGCCCAGGATTATCCCCATGAAGCGCACTCTTTGACCCAAACCTATGTTGAGCAATGTTAAGTCGATAAATAATGCTGCTTAGTACACACCTTCTTCCGATCTTACGGTCTGTTGCTGTGTTGAAGCTGTCACGGTCGCCATCAACGTAGCCTTCTGCTGGCACTAGTCGTCGTGTTTAGCAAGTCATTGTTTGATCTCGATGCTCGATGTGTTGAAGCTGTCGTCATAGCCCGTCGCTGCTAAACAGTATGACACCACTGCCTATGTATGCTTGTCTATGTATACACATTCAGAAGGGTGATGGGTATAATTACAAATACAATGTTCATCAAATACATTCAGAAGGGTCATGGTGCAGTCGACTTAATTGTCCCTATCGTTCCATTTATTGTCGTAAAGCATGCAAACGATCTAAAAGATCGGAGATCCCACCCTCAGTGTAACATGTTCAATATAAAAAAAGTTACAGATTCCATAATTGAAATTCAAAAAGAGAAATACAGGATGAATGAGGGAATTTGAATTTCTGAATGATCCATGGCCAGCAAAAACTCATCTTTTCTAATTTAAAGTAAAATGAGTTAATATTACAATTAGATTAATTAAATTGATTATTGTAAATATTGTACATTATCAGCAGCAGTAAGAAGTTTCTCTTAATTGGTCAAATAAAAAAAATATACAGAGCATTGCCAATTTTCAAAATTTATACCTTCTACATTCAGCAAGGCGCCATGTCTATTCAATATCCTTCATAGCATCCTGCAGTATTAAAAACAACATCCAGATTGATATAACTCCTACAAAATACGTGTATAAGAGAAGGCGCGTGAAGAGAGCGAGGGGGAAATGATGTTACATGAGTTAGTTAGTAGTGTACCCAAAGAGGAAGGTGTAGGAGACGAGGCAATGCATTTGCTTATTTAGGTAAAGGAAGAGAGCTGAGAAGGATATTGTGAGATTCCACATCGGTTGGGGAGAAGAACGAAACATTCTTCATAAGGGTATGGAAACCTCTCCCTAGCATACGTGTTTTAAAAACCTTGAGAAGCCCAAAGAGAACAATATCTGCTAGCGGTGGGCTTGGGCTGTTACAGGTATCTTCTTGCTAATCATTTTGTGAGATTCTTATGGGAGTTTGTAACCACCCAAGTCTACTGCTAACAAATATTGTCTTCTTTGGGCTTCCTCTTCTGGTTTTAAAACGCGTCTACTAGGGAGAAATTTCCACACCCTTATAAGGAATGTTTCGTTTCCCTCTCCAACCAATGCGGATTCTCACAGCAGGGAAGCTATGGAATTCTTCCCTCAATTTTGTAGCCTTGTTGATAAACAAACTCAATTCTTATCTACATTGGTATCCGAGCCGATCTTGATTGGAAATGACTATGTGCATGGAAGTTCGGATGGAAACGTTGAACAAAGTTGGGTCGATCCTGAAGTTTGTGAAAGGAGGTGGGAAAAGTCATTGTTAAGAGCGCGACTAAGTCGGTAAAGAAAGGATTCGGGGAGGTGTTTTCTCAGATGGAAGGGTAAAAAATGACCGAGGAAGCTGCCACTAGTGGAAGAGACAAGGAAAGAGAAAGAAAATGAGGTTGAGGAGCCAAACACTGCAAATGTGAAATTAGGAAAGTGCTAGCTCAAGTCTTTGATTTGCGGCTAAGAAAGTTAGACATTCCAATGTTCGGCAGGGAGAGTCACTATGGTTGGATGCATCAAGTGGAACAGTATTTTGTGGCTAATTGGCTACTCGAGACGGAGAAGCTGGAAGTCGTTGTACTGTGACTAGAAGGGAAAACTTTAAACTCACATCAATGAGCGGAGCCAAGTTACATTACATGAGCATTTTTGTGTTACATCAGGAAATGACGGTGGGTGAATGGTGCATTATCTAACACACCACGAAGAGTGGACAAAGTTGCCCAAGTAAGGTACAAGTAGATTAGAAGCAACGGTGTTACCAATGGTATCAGGACAAGCTTAACAGGAGCCCGTTGAGGCCCCAAAACATAACCTCAAAAGTCGGGATTTCAGAGTGAGTTTCAACAAGCAACTCTGAAGTTAAGTCTGTACAAGTGAAATATGAAAGTTCGCTAAATTGGGTTCAATCGGACCAAATAGATGGTCCACATTGGTGTATGACTCCTTGCCAAAATGACATCCACTCTTGCTAGATAAAAATGTCTTAGAATGTACTATAAGGGGATACAACTAGTTGTTAAATCTTCCTACTCGGGTTACATGCTATTAATGTTGTTGTTGCTTGCACACGTTAGTGAGAAGTGGGCCCGATGAGGAACGTGTAAGGCAATGTGTTCGTTGATTTAAGGAAAGGAAGAGAGGTGAGAGGAGTATCGTTTTGCTAATCATTTTGTGAGGTTTTTGTGGGATAGAGGGGAAATTTTTACTATACTTCATTTAGATAGCTTCTAGAATTTAGTTTCTAGTACAAGATCCATCCATACTAATGAGGGAACAAAAATCAGTCGATCAGTTATATCAAAACTTGGACCGAGTTGGGGTTAAGAACCTATGAAGTACGAACCTATAAGATATAATATCATGATCAAGTCAATTCCATGATTACGAGTTCATCCCGTAAATATAAAACGAGTTGATTGCATAAAGTTTGCAGTAACAATAAGCCATATTACCTTGGCTAATCGTGTAACGTATGCAGCAGCCAATGCTGTTGCCAACAATCCGAGTCCTAAAGTCCATAGCTGACCATTTCCCCCTCCAAGCAAACCAACTTCAGATTCTTCTTGCTGAAAAACGCCAAGTAAAATTAACAGCGGAAAAAAAACTAGGCAACAAGATGGAAAATTGGAAACAACCAATACGAGAGACAGAAAACCGAACTAAGAATCGAGGTCATAGATTATCTTTAAAGGAAAACCATAAACAATATGCATTGTGTCACAATCGCACTCTTGAAATAGCGGGATAGTGATTGTGCCGTACTTGTTCTAACCAACCGAACAAGTCAAGCGTGAGAAATTCGGACGTTGCGAACAACGTCGGCATATATTTGGGTCTCA